AACCAACAAAAACAAAAATATTATTATCCGAGTTTAACACGCAATAAGGCAGCATTTCTTTTTCTTGTTTTCTGTTCGCTCCAAACAGGGAGAGCGGAACCTCTTTTTTTGCGTATTCTTTCCTTGCGTATGCTCTTTCGAGTGGAATATCAAGTAAGTCCTATTCGACGACAGCGTTCGGTTCGCTGCGTTGACTGCTCTTATCCATTATTACTTCAAATAAAAGGTGTGTTGGAATTTTGTTATCATTCTGACCGTTGAATGATTTTTTTGAAGTAAATATTTTTCTTTTTTGTTGATTGTGGGTAGATTAAACGAATTGAAATGATAAAGTATCAAGTAAACAGTACTAAAATAATGGTATATCAACAGTAACATCTTGGGGATGTGTAGCAATTTAAACTCTTACCTATGCTGGAAAAAATTGACATTACACCACCGCAATGACACCGCTAAAAAAGAGTGGATTTTCATCGCTCTAGTTTTTTTTATTATACTAGGGGAAACGCTCCTATAGTTGCGGTACGTTAGAAAAGTTAGGTTCCTACAGTTGTGCATGGAGACTCAATACTTCTAACGTACCGCAACTATAGGAGCATTTATCCTATAACAGGCAATTGAAAATGAGTGCAAAGATGCAGGTAAATTTCCATGCATATCCGTTTGTTTCCATATTACGTTAGTATATTCATTTCATTTTTTACGCGATGTTTTGTCTGTGTTTTTGATCGTGTTATCTCAAATTGCATCCGAATTCAATGCAAATTATTTCATAAAATCACACAAAAAATATATGCTGATATTAAAATTTCTGTACTTATCCTCGAAAAAAAAAAATGAAAATCGCGTAAAACAGAATTGAGTGTACTCCTTAGCATTAGTTACGACATTAAGCTGTTTGCCCTAAATGACAAACGGCCTTTGTCTTAGGCAACTACGCGATGCGTTTTCAGCGTCAAGTCTACTCGATCCTTATAAGAAATAACATTGCGGCATTTCCCTAGACGCGGTCGTTCGTTTCAACAACCAAGAGCCGCGTGCAAAGACGCGTCAAATTAACGGAATCCTACAATTTTTTTTTTTTTTGGGATATGAACCACTAAGTCTATTGTTTGAACTTTTGTGGTACCCTTGTTTACTGTTCGTACACACTAAGATTATTTTACAGATTTCTGTAAAATTTTACCGAAATCTCAACAGCTGAACTTTCGGTAAACAATTTTACAGTTTTCCTGTAATTATTTACAGATATCTGCGAAAAATTCACAGATATTTGTGAAAAATTACAGGAAATCTGCGAAACTGTTTACCGAACGTTCAGCTGTTGAGATTTCGGTAAAATTTTACAGATATCTGTAAAAATTTCTAAGTGTGTATCATGCAAGCTGACCACCATTTAATGAGTGGACAGCTAATTGCCTGGACACGTCCTTTCCCAGTCAGGTATGATATGGTTTATGAAACCAACTACCTTTCCAGGATTAGCAGACCAAATTCCACTAGGTTGTAAGATAACAATACGAAGAAATTTAGATCTACGCCTGTGTAATGCACCGCAACTGCAGAGCAGATGTTCTTGGTCGGGTTCAGAGCTATATCTGCCGTTTCTGTAGCATAGAACGTGAAACCTCGGAACATTCTACAATAGTATCCTCCATACCTTGTTCATACACTACGAAGACAGTTCAAGACCAACAATTGAAAAGGCCTCAACTCCATTTTGTAAACAAACCTTGTAAGGCCATTTTCTCGCGAACCGAAGTATGCCAAAGTAAACCAACATAATGAACAGGTAGGGAAAATTTCTCCTCTACCCGATTGTGGTTTAGGTTTGCGAATGTAGGTTTCGGTTTGTGAGAAAATGGCCGTAGTTTATAAACAGCCCCTAAGTAAATACAAGCTATATTGCGACTAAATGGTTACTTGGGTACTCATATAGCCGTCAGAATGGTTCATCGGTTGCGAAGTGAAGTATTCCTGAAAGTGAAGCGATATATTTCTCAATGTTTTGATTTTATCCCAACGTTACCTCAATGTTATCACAGACAAACAGACACAACACATTAAACATTTATCATTGTAAATCCTACCGCTATATGTCGTATACACTCAACAGATGTCTGTAGTGTATATTTAAATTTACCGTTAAAAACAATTTCGATGAACATCTTAAGCATGTTATGTCGGCCTGTCTGTGATCATACCTTCACTATCGCAACTCCGGGTAATCCGCGAAAGTGCGGGCATTTTTCTCAAGCACTTTTGATCTAACTGAAGATGAGCAGAAATTATTCAAATAAAGGCATTTTGATAATTTTGGGTCTAGTTGACCAATAAAAATTCAACTCCCACCAGGTTGGCACGTCCCTGAATTGAAGTGGGGTCCAGAGGGTCGGTAAAAATCCATTTACATCTTTGTGTAGACGTTGTTTGCTGTGGTTGTATTAATTTAACCTCCTAGTAGATTGATGTGTCTCTTCTTCTTTTTTCAATTCTTTATTTGTTTAGGTTCAAATGTTTATAAAACTAGGAGTCGATTAATACAGAGATTTTTTTGACGAAACAAATTTGAGGTTTTCTGTTTGCGTTCATTTTTTCGCGGTAGGCGACTTCTTTCTGCTTACTTTCTTCTGCGCCCACAGTTTTCTTCTTTGTTCACTGCATTGTTGCTGTTTCCACAGCTCCTTTGTAGCTAAGTACGTCACGTCTGTCCGGTAGTCCAAAAACGGTCGATTTTGCTCCTGGATTCCACTCGCTTGTTCTCCTTTCATTTTCTCTCCGGCCTTCGGGGTCATCTCGTCCATTGCCATCACTTTTTCATCGAGCACCTCAATTACTTCCACTGTGGCTCCTCCGGCTACCATAGTATGCTTAAAAGTCTGGTTAGCTAAGCTAAGCTTATCGGCGATTAAGCAAGCATTGCCGTTCCTTTGGCTTTAACGTCCCCTCTTGGAATTTACGCCGGCTCTCAACTTATTGTTCTTTGAGCTCTTCCACAGGTGTTAATTGACGAGAGCTTTCTATGGCTGTTTCATTTTTTCATTAGTATAATTGTGTGGCATGTACAGTTTTGTTCGATAAAATACCAGCGCATGCCGATTTTCATACAAAATGGTCAATTTTGACACGATGTAACTTTGTTAACTTATGATCAATTGAGTTGAAACGTTCACCAAAAAACTACAAATATGTTCAATTTTACGATTACAAAATATTTAATTTTTGGAAGCACCTGCCGGAAAGTGAGGCACCATTGTTCAAAATAATAGCAGTTTTTTATTTGAAAATTGATTAACAAAATTACATCATGTCAAAATTGACCATTTTGTATTAAAATTGGCATGCGCTGCTATTTTATCGAACACAGCTGTATAATCATACTTTATGCCCAGGGAGGTTGAGAAATGTTCCAACCCGGGAATCACACCCAGCCGCCTTCAGTATGGTCTGGCTTTATAGCTGTGATTTTACCGACTGAGGTAAAGGAGCCCCCCTAAGCAAGCATCCCAAAGATGAAAATGCTTATTGGATAAGGTTTGTTTATCGCATTAATTTAAAAGGAAATTATCAAATAACTATCATATGACATGTGTGTTAATTCCTCAATTTGGTGTAAATTAAAGCATTTCTGATCAGAAATGTTATTACTAGGACATCGTTGCTTGCTATTTTCAGAATTCACACAAGTACAACATCAGCAGCTCTTATTATGAGAAAAACTAAATATACATTAGTGACGGTCTTCTGCGACAGTGTCGTATGACAGAACCTGTCATATGACATTTTAGTTTGGTACTGTAATTTGATAGCTTGCTTTGCAAGTGTCGGAAGCAAAGGCAGTCGATTATCACAGAAAATGTGTCGACTAAGATGACCGCTTACAAGACTGGTCCCGCTACTTATACCCTTCAAAGAGTGAGAGCCCCCAAAAGCGCACTCCTTTGACAGTCAAAATTGGATTCCCACATATTTAAAAAAAAAATCTGTATTTACGCGCATTTTTTTTTTAAAGTATGATTTTCGATTACCTATGACTTGAAACGGATAATGTGATTCAAATCAAGCTGATTGGTTGTATCGTTATCGAGAAATCATTAAAAACGTACCGTGTGAATTGCGGCTTAGCGCCATCAACCGTGTAAAAAAAACGGGTAAAAAATACTGGAGTGTAATTGAAACAGTGGGAGTAAGGTGGGACGAGATCATTTTCTTGATTTATTTATATTTTTGTTTATCAACACCAACAAGCTCATTGGTTTGAAAAACCAAATCATATTTGGGGCTGCATTTAACCTGTTCATATTGACAAACAAATAAATTAATAAATTTACTAGCTGATCCATCTTGCCCCACCTTACCCTATAATTTATTATAGCACATTTCAAATAGGATCGCTTTCAGCTTCATGCTTTGATTTGAGATTTTATTAAGGCAATGCACCGAACTGCAATCTATCAAAATCAAGATTCCGACCATACGTACATACAGTGGCGTTTCCTCAACCTCAATGTACCTGTGCACCAAAATATTACTTGCAATGGATAGATATCGAGTAAACTAGAAGATTAAGTGTATTTTCCAACCGATTCGAGTTGGAATATGGCATTAAATCTGGTTTTGAAAGTTGGTGCACAGGTAAAAAGTGACGTTACGGGACGCCCCTGCGTACATATCAAAAATTCCTGAGAAAATCGATCCAAATTATTTAACACATAATGAAGCTTTGATTTATGTTGGTTCCAGTTTTGTAGATTGGTTTTTGAACTGTGAACTATGTGAAACTAACTCATCGGTCGTAAGCTATTCGTAACCACCGTGTGTATACCGCCTATAGTATTATATGCTACAGCGTTGTTAGAGTACCCCAGTTATGTACCGTCGTAAGTGAGGCGAAAAACTACATTTCGACCCCAAAAAAAAACCGATTGTGGAATGTGCATCTATCTTACCTCCACCGGCTGATTGTCTTTTTCTCGCTGTTCCTCTCTGTGTAATTATAGATTCGCGAAACACCGCGGTGGCCCGCTACAGCAGCGAGGAGATATCGGGAAATGAATCGAACGAGGCACGTCTGATGACCGAAGCGGAGCGCCAGGCCGACTTCAATCGCCACAAGGAGGAGATGAAGCGCAAACGACGCAGGAAGAAACGAGCCAGTTCATCGATGCAATCGTCATGTTTTCAAGGTGAGAAACGTCAGGACGGTGTGGTCCTAGGATTATCCTATAGGAACTAGTAACTAACTTCCTATCTATTGTTTCGCTTTACTTTTCACGATTGCAGAATTGTACAAACTGACTGGCGAGGTGCTTGGCGAGGGCGCATATGCTTCGGTGCAAACGTGCATCAACATCTACACGGAGCTGGAGTATGCGGTGAAGATCATCGACAAGATTCCTGGCCACGCTCGGGCTCGCGTATTTCGCGAAGTTGAAACCTTCCACCATTGCCAGGGCCATCCAAATATCTTGCAGCTATTGGAATTTTTCGAAGACGAGGAAAAATTTTACCTAGTGTTTGAGAAGATAAATGGCGGACCGTTGTTGACTCGCATCCAGGAGAATGTTTGCTTCTCCGAGTACGACGCTGCGCAGATCATCAAGGAGATCGCATCCGGGCTGGACTTTCTACACAAGAAAGGCATCGCCCACCGAGATCTGAAGCCGGAGAACATCTTGTGCGTGTATCCGGACAAGCTCTGCCCCATCAAGATCTGTGATTTTGATCTCGGTTCTGGAATCAAGTTCACCACCAACGTCTCGTCGCCAACGGCCACACCGCAACTGTTGACACCGGTAAGTGGCATTTGTTTTATCTTAAATGTTTAATCTGAGTGAGGGGATGGAATTCAGATATGTATTTCCTTCACCAATTTATGCTTCTTGCAGAGATATATAAGATAGAGAAGAAGACAAAAATCATGTGTTGCCAAAACGGGAAAGCACTCTGAATAAAAAAAACTTTACCTAGCTTGTTAAAATGTCATATTTGGAACCATTTATGTACTATTTGATCCCTTTCAAATGTGGTGAAAGAGAACAGCACCGATATATGAGAATCAATATTTTGTGTTTATTGTGTATGCATATAAATGGAAGCTGGCAATCTCATCATAATTCAGTACAATCTGTTTGGGTTATCTTCTTACCACAATATTGACACAGACGCATTCGAGTTTATCCGTTCTCAATCTGCTGAATTTCACACCATGACACCAAGTGCGTTTACCCTGCCTTTTACGCAATTATTAAAAAATGTAACATTGACTTTATCAATTCGAGCTCTCGAAAAAGCTTAAATGAAATAGCAAAATTCAAGCATCAAAACACCTTTGGAACGCTTTGAAGCACCAGGCGTGAGAAATAAAAAGTAAACAATTATTATCGACTAGCGATTTACATAAACATTACCATATGTTGAGTGTGGGGAGGAGAAATAACCTGTTTACCGGACCAAGCACGGACTCCGGTACATTATATATTAATAGGGAATGCGGGGAAGGGGCAAAATGCGTCCACCATCTGCATTCATTGCTACAAGTTAGTATTTTAATTACTCAATTATTATATATAGAATCGGCTGTGCGCATTATAATAATTTCAATTCTTTCAATAAATACTATTGTTATAAAACGCAAGGCTCGTGAGGAGCGCAAAAGATTCGCTCACATCACGCAAACTTGCACGCTGTTCTGACTAATGGGCAAGACGAAAACCAGCCTCCAAGTTCTAGGAAAATAATGTTTACAGCACGGAGGGGTTGAGTTAGGGGGCAGTGATGCCACGGCCTCCTTTTACGTCTCTCTCCTCTCACTTGTAAGCAACGCAAATAAAACTGGTTGAACAGCTTCTATAATCATTCCAGCAAAAGGAGTAAATGGTATGTGCTATAAGAATAAGAACACAATAGTTTCACTTTTTATTCTTCTCCCTGTTGCTGGTGGAACGTTTTTCGCTAGGTTGGTTATAAACTTTTTGAAACGTTATTATTTCGAGATTCTCCAGGCCTTCATCTTGACTAATGCCGGTAGCACTGGTGATCCACCACTTTTCGATCCGTCTCATGTTTGTCAATCTTGGTACTATTAAATAGGCAGTGCTTATATAACCTTTTACTTCCCAGAAGGGTTTAGGTTGTTTTGAGATGCAAAATTGTATTTTTTGAAAAAAGTGCTAGATCAAAAGATGTCCCAAAAGCCTAAAATTATCGAAACCATCAACAAAACTTAGCGATGCTATGAAATGGTATCAAAAAAACAGTTTGTTTACATTTTGGTAATTGGCGCTTTTCAAATGTTACGCGAGACTTCTCTCTTTGATGTGGGATCATTATTTGAATCTTTTTGCATCTGAAATATATCGAACATTGAATCAATACCTACTGGTTGGACTTCCCTGGCGGTCCTCTTATTACAAATGTTTTGTTACCTGTTTGCCACGTCCACCCACATAAGGGCACAGAACGAAGGAACGAACGAATGATATACCTACCTACATTTTTTTTTCTTTCTCGTTGCTTTATATCTGTTTCCATTTGCAAAATAATAACACCACAGAGACACAGATGCCGTCCGTTGTCGTCGACGATTGAAAAAAAAAAACTAACTGCGCAATTTCGACGGACGAAGGCTGCGAGCGAGGTGGGATGCGTCGGTATCTCGCACAGACCGATTGCACGACGATGTGTTTTGCCAGTTCTGTTTTATCAAATAATTATTATTGTTAAGTTTCATATTTCATACGGCAGCGTGCTTTCTAACGCGGTCGCTGATCTGGACTGTGGGTCGATCGGTGGTGAAACGATGCCACCAATGAAGGGAAGGGAGTGAGCGTCAACCGAACTGATAAACAAATCACGCCTATTCTCGCTTCATACTGATGTTGTTTTTTGTGCTCGAACAGTAAGTACTTACTTTTTAGTACTACCGTCAAATAGGGGTGGTTTGCAACAGTTCAATCAATTACAATTTGTTTGTTTCTATCAACATATTAGAATTATAAGGGACTAACTGTGATGATTGCTTCGCCTAATCGATATTCTATTTTTATTACTGCATTAAGAGAATCGATTGTTTATATTAACACAATCAAACATTGCAAACATTTATGATTTTGAGGGCTAGAATTGATTTTTTCATGGTTTAAGTGTAATGTTCTATTCTTTCCTCATAAAGTAATTTCGTTTAAACGTGCTCCATATATCACGTGGACCTTGAAGAGGGGTGAGGAGGGTTTGCAAGTGAGCACGCTCTATAGATTTTTTTTTAATATTTGTATGGTGTATTGTCCACGCAGATGAGGGGGGGGGGTGTACACTCAGGTCTTTTTTTACACGGGGGATACGTACCGTGTAAAAAAAAACCTACGAGATTTTGATTTTTCACATGCTTAAATGTTTAAAAAAAAAAAACGGATTTTATTGCCATTTGTAATTATAGCATGCTATGGTCCATATAGACATATTTAAAAAATTTCTGTATTTACATCAAAAATTGTGATTTTTTTCTAAGTATGTCATTCGATTACCTCTAGCTTGAAACGGATAATGTGATTGGAATCAAGTCGATAGATTGTATCGTTTTCGAGAAATCATTAAAAACGTACCGTGTAAATCGCTATAAACCGTGTAAAAAAACCGCGTAAAAAAAACCTTGTAAAAAAAGACTTAAGTGTATTTTAAAATCTAAAAAAATGTCCTCTTGTTTTGTCGACAGCCCATAATGGTATTCGTAGTAAAGACATTTAAGTTTTGCGTTTCGTGTAGAATTTGAACTTAAACATACATGTTTCACACTGTTACAGGAAGAGTTTGATGTCAGAAACAATGAAGAAATAACACATTTACACTGGAGTCGCTTTTTACGCGGTTTTTTTTTACACGGTTTTTTTTACGCGGATTTCGGAATTTACGTGGTTTTTTTTTTACGCGGATTCCGGAATTTACGCAGTTTTTTTTACGCGGATGTTGGTTTTTTTTTACGCGGATTTCAGAATTGACGCGGTATATCGCTTTTTACGCGGTTTTTTCTTACACGGTCTTTTTTTACGCGGTTTTTTTTACGTGGATTTCGGAATTTACGCGGATTCCGAAATTTACGCGGTTTTTTTTACGCGGGACGTATCACCCGCGTAAAAAGCGACTCCAGTGTATTTCCAAAAAAAAAAAAACGAGTCAGGGAAGTCCAAATTTCCAAGCACTGTTTGATTTGGCTTTTGGTTTTTAGAGGATGTAAACAGTTTCTCATGTAAATTCTAGAATACTATGCTCTAGTTCTTCTTTCCTTTATTTAACGTCGGTCTCTTTTCCGCAATCTAGTGCCAATCACCGACGGACATCGATTGCCATCCATTGACGGCAATCGAATGTGCAGGAAGGCAGCTTCCACACCTGCGTAGGATATCTCACCCATTCAACACACATGGGCCGGGACCAACGGCTTTACTTCCCTTCCGAAGGAAGACGTGACCAGAGATTTTTATGCCTCAGAAAAATCCCACCGACCTCGGCTGGGATTGAACCCAGACCCATCGGGGTGTTAGAAAGCAGTCACGCTTATCACTACACCACCGGCGCCGGCTCTATGCTCTAGTTGTGTTACTTAAATAAAAATATAACGATAACTAAAGACGGTTGTTTGGTTGGTAAGTGTGGGCTGTTTTAAAACAAGGGTTTCCGAGTGTCTATGACCGGTTCAAAAACGATTATGCACTAGGTTTTTTTTATGGACAGTCGCTTATCTTTATTTACGAGACTTTCAGTTAAAGACAGATTCAGTTAGTTAGGTCGTCTACAGCAATTTGTTCAATCAAAGCTCACTAAAATGCTTTTCCTAGTAAAAGCATGTAGTATTGCATTTGCAAGTCACCCTTTTTTACGGTGCTCATCCTTACTGCTACTGCTAGCAGGCTGATCGTCGGACCATGTGGGGTGGTAGAAGCGGTGCGATACAGTGTTTTTGTTTTTGAAAGAAGCGAAACGAGGTCAGCGATTTATTTTAAAACATCACACTGACTTGTACGAATCTTTCTTTCTAGTAGTCGTCAGAGATAAGGGACAGTCGCCTCTGATTACGTTTGTTCTTCAGCGACGCGCGGTGCTTCAAATGCAAAAATGATGAATTCGTCCTGCTTCGGTTGGGGATGGATCTCCTGGGTTGTTTCAGACTACAGTAAAAGCTTAAATTATCAAGTCCCTAGCAGCTTGCTCTTAAATGGATGTCCTTTGAGTGTCAATTTTGGCGATTGAAATCTTTCAAAACAGCTCTTTCTAATCGATGTTTTATGGAAGAATGTTAACATGTGTAAAGAAGCCAGAATTTTGCTAAAACTGCGTAACGTATCGTATTCTTATATCGTGAGGTAAACGCACCCTAGGAAGTTGTGAAAATTTAAAGTTTAAATATATCTAGGTTGGGAACATTACTTTCAATTATCTACGACGTGATACTTTTCAAAATAAAACACATCCATTAATTTTCTTTAAAATCAATCAAGTTGAATAAAAACAATTCAAAATCTAGAATTGGCAAACACGTTGACACTGATGTCCTGAAAGTGCGCTGATTCAATGTTATCAGCATTAATGTAACGTCTCTAAAAATGGAGTATTTACCAAACTCCAAGGGCATGTTTTCTATTTTAATTCCGGACTGATTCGTGCACATGCTTTTGTAAACAAACTAACAACATAATCAGCTAGAGGAATGGTTCCTCTACTATTTATGAATAGTTTGTTTTCGAGATTGGGTTTTATCCGCGAGAAATCGGCGATTGATCTGTTTGTTAACAAAAGCATG